GGGGCGCGGGCTTCGCCCTCGCTTCCTCTGCCGCTGGGAGGACCCCATTATCGGGAGCTGGGGGGGGCCGATGGGGCTGTTCCCATGCCCGGGAGCGATCTGGCTGTCTCGATTCTTCGGGGGGCGTCCTGGACGTTTTGGAGGGCCTGCAGTTTTAGGGTTCTTCTTGGAGAAGAGCACTGAGGTCCTCCTGCCAACTTCATGTGCTGGGGTGGAGGAAGAATTGGGACCCAGACCTGGAAGAAGGAGGAGAAGGTGTCAGCTGCAGCCCACAGGACCTGGCAGGGACCGCATGGCAGCAGCATCAAGGAACAGCTTCATTTCTCAGGAACGTTATCTTGGAAAATCCTCCATCCTGAGCTTTGCCATGTCTGTGCCCTCAGGGTCAAACTATCCAGTCTGCTGCAGTAAAAGCTAGATGAGGACATCAAAGAACACTCCACCTGCCAGCGATGCCCTCCTTCTCCCAGGCAGCAACCTCACAGAAACAGAAGTCAAGAACAGGAAGCAAGCAGGAATAAACCTCTCCCACACACGCAGCAGCTGAGAAGCTCCACTGCACCCTTGAAAGACAAAGGCCCTAAAACGCTCCCTGCTTGTGAAGAGCCTGCTTTTCCCGACACTTAGTGGGGCAGGACTGGGATGCAGAGGTGGCAAACACCCAGTGAAACCTGGCAGCTCTGCCTGGAGCTTTTGCTGTGCTCCCCACAGAGCCCAGCTCCGTATCTCCGTCCAGGAGGCCAGGGAGCTGGCGGCTGGCCCACGTTCGGCTCTCAGCCCCAGGAGGGCATTTGGAGCTCGGCAGTCAGTGCTGCTGCAACTCCCTCCCGTGCCCGCAAGCAGGAAGGGACACTGAAGGCAGCCTGCTCCGTAACACCCCTAGAGAAACCGGGCAGTGTGGCAGAGCTGGCAGGGCCGGGCAGGAAGAAACAATCCATCTCATGCCCCACATCACACAGCTGGGACTCTCTGTCTCTGGAATGACATCCAGTTCCTCAGCCACACGGGAGATGAGCTCACCAGGGGAACGCTGACCCCAGCTGCAAACACCAGTGACCTGCCGAACCTCCCCAGAGGCAAATGCACACCAGGCTGCGGCTGTTCCAGATGCAAGAGGTGGCCTCCTTCAGTTGCCAATCCCCCCTGCTTGGCTGGCACAGCTCACTACAACCCGGTCGTGCGACAGGCATGCCAGGAGAGAGCCTGGGGAGGCACAGACGACGTACTCCGCACCCACCCCTACCGGAGGCACTACTGGAAATGAGGAAACCCCACGGGGGAATGGGAGATAAAGGACTGCCCCTCAAGATGCCATCTGCCCCGCTCCTAAGGAGGAGAGAAGAGCGAGGCGTGTCGGGAGCTGCCCACACAGCCCTTCTGCCTCGGCAGGCACCTGGCCGGGCGGACTCTCCCTCACCCAAGCCTGTCCAGAGGCAGTTCTCCACCGCTCCCCAAAACTGGCAGTATTCTGGAGGGACCAGTACCTTTGCCAGTCTCCTGGCTGCTGCTCTCTTCTGCAGCACTGTCTGTCTGCAAGTCCTTCTCGCAGGGATTGTGCGACTGCAGGACTCCCCTGGCAGAGGAGCCATGCCGCTCCAGCCCGTCTCGGCCCAGGTCCCGCGGGTGAGCGAGTTTCCGCCGTAGGACTGTGATCTCCTTCTTGATCATCTTGGCCCGGCGGGACCGTCCTATGGTCTGCTTGCCAGCGTTGACCTCATCCAGCCGCTCCATCAGGATCTTTAGCTGCTCGTCCAAGGGCAGGTGCTTCTGATTCTCTGAGAGCAGAAGCCGCACATCTTCTGGGGGAACAAAGAGGAGCAGATGGATAAAAGGAATCAGGAACTCTTTGGAGTTCCTCTACCTGAAAGGGCATGGAGCAATCCAGGTTCCTTGCAGGAAGGAAGTGGCTGACATGGTACCAAACACCTGTGAACATGGGAAGTTACCCTAAAAGACCTGGAGAAGGAGCCCTGTGGGAAGCAAGCCAGTTGGGACTGCTGGGGAAGGCAGGCTGATCAGCAGCTTGGAGAATACCAGGGTTCCCATCGGCTGGGGCAAGGACACAACAGAAAAAACAAAGGGGATTGTAACAGGAAAAACAAGAGTCAACAAGATCCTGAATCATTACAGAGCAGGGAAGGTCCCCTGTCTGAGCCTCTCCCATCCTGGAGCAGGGAAAGGGAGACCCTAAAAGGATCCTTCTCTGACAAGCTGTTCCTGGCGGTCCTCCCCGCTGTCCAGAGACAAGCAGAACTACAACCACAGAG